TAAAACAGAACAACTGGAAGATTATACAACAGTTGCATTGTTTTTGTCTAGCCTAATGGGTCTGTGACAAAAGAAGAGCTTTTTATCTCTTTGCGCGCTATTCGATTGCATCGGTATTTAGGAACTGTCAGCGGGTTTTTTTTTCGCTTTGTAATATTTATCTTTTGCGAGATACATGAGGAGGCTGCGGATAACGGAAGATGTTTTACATTGAGATCCTCGGCTGCGTAGACATTTCCGCTAGGCGATCGAACAATCAGAATCCTGTCGTTCTAGAATTCAAACGGCGTCATTTAGAAAGACGGCTGACATGAACTGCGTTCGCAGCCATGTTATCTAATATATGCATCGCTCGCAATGAAAAGTTATAAAGTCATTCATTTCTTAGCTAAAACTCACAGCCAGAAGCCCACGTAAATTTGCGTAGGCTGAAAGACAATACGGTACAACAGGTGCCTTTTGTTTGCGGTAAAATATCATAAATCCGGACTTTTTTTTCGACTGGTCGCTAAAGATTTCAGGAAGCCTATTATGAAGTCTGGGGAAAAAGTATATGACGAATAAACTAGCGGGCATAGCGAGAAACGGTGCGTCATCATCAAAAAATTTAAACGAAGATTATTATTTATTCTCTTATTATCTGTTTTATTATCTCTCAGTGTTTTACTAGCCTTCACAAAAATTAGAATTTTTTTTCTACGCAATTACCAGTATTCGTGAAACTTCCGAAATATCCAAGAACTATATGTTTAAAGGAAGGTGTTGAATAATGTGAGAATCTGAAAAACTTGAAAACTGACCAAAATGGCTCGCGGGTTATTTTTTTATACGCAAATGAGCAGCTGTTTTTTTAAAGAAAGTATTGCCAATTAGATCGTCCATACAAGTTCCAACGTTTAGCCATTTAGACGTTTTGCACCTTGTAGTCTTCTTAGCCCTTTTGAACCTTTGGATATTTGTGTTTTGACCTGCTATAAGTCCAAACTTGTACTTGCTGGGTTTTTTCTGTGCAGCCGATTGAGTAACGCTTTAACAAATCTATACCTACGAATATCGCTTGACACATGGCTACTATCTTGGAAATTTGGAAATTAACGAAGGAATACCTTGAAAATGACTGTTGAACTATTTAGGCTCCGAGATTAAGATATGATCAACGTCAATAAATATATCACTAGCTCAACATAACCATGTAAACAATCTTATTAAAATATCTAGTTTTGTTTAGGTACAATTCAAGTTGAAAACAATTTATAAGAGAAAGTTGAGATTTAAGTAAGCCACTCTACGCCATATGCCCACATAGAGATGTGCTTACTTGTAATTAGGTTCAGTGTGCCAACTCGTATAAACGAGACTCAACAATTTTTGTGAGGCTATCCCCGTCGACGCGCACGTTTCTCTGTCGTTATGAGGGTATAGTTGAGTAAAATTAATAAAGCTGCATTGTAGATTTTTTGTAGCATTGTATAACACTAAAGTAAAATTGGTAATGTAAATGAACTTCATCTGTTTTAACGGGTACGTAACATCTGCTATAGGCACAATTAGCAGCTTCGACATTTTTTGGAGCATTGAATTAATGAATAGACAGCAAATGGCCTTCTATTGATACTTCATCTGGCGGACAAAGTCTGCTGAATAAATTGGCATTTGAATTTTTCGCTGCTGTGACACCTGCCAGCTTGCACTATACCATGCCGTATATGAAACAGGACAATGTTATTAAAGCGTACAATTTTTTTAAATGCAAACATAATAACTGATGTTCAGAGCTTTATAAAAATTCAACATGCAGGAACATGTGTACAAGAAAATAACGTGAAATTCATTGAAACTAGACATTTAACCTACAGAAATCGGTAAAGGTTGCATCTTGCCCAAACGAAGACTATTTAAAAGTTACTGAAGTCACTTAATGACGCGTTCATGCAAATGGCGATCCAGATCGATAAGCACAAATCAATCTACTGAGAACTTTTACATACATACTGGCTCCTAACCGTCCCTGCAAACTTTCCGCATCACATATTGCGATTTGGCTGCATTGTCATTGACTGCAAATGAATGGTTACCGTTCGAACGGTCTATATATGTATATACCCAGCTATTCAGATTACGAGTGGACATCCCTGGCTTGAGCTACGCAATGAATTAATCTGTTGTATGTTTGCCTAAAGCTAACGACAAAAAAAAGTTTTGCCTGCGTGACAAAGTTACGCTAGAGCGGTCATACAGCGTTTTAGTTCAAAGAGAAGTCTGGCATATCAGGCACACACGATAGCGACGCTGCTCGTAGCGAGAACGTTCGATGTCTGTTCTCGAAACGCGTTCTAAAATTACCTTCGTGCCACGTACCCTGTATCTCTACTATTTAGTTGAATTGGCTTTCTTGGTGATTGTATCAGGATTGGCCAAACAACTGTAGAAATTATGTATAGTGCCAAGCTTAAACATTGTAACTTTAAGATTGCTTTTTGAGAATTTACTTCGGAGCATGGCTATATACAACAGCCTTTCTATTGAAGATTCAGGTATTTTCACTTGGTCATAATAACAAAATTGTTCAGTCGTAAGGTGAAGTAAGTGCTCATTTGTTCGTCCTGCGGAGTTTATATGTGAAAGCAACTGATGCAGAGCGATATATCATAGGTATCACAGCATGATTTCCATATATATATATACACTGCAAGGGCCTGTGAGCTGAAGGCAACAAGCTGAATTAAGATTACGTGGTTAACATATGGTAGCGTTGCCCAGCTAGTCGAAGGGGGTATATGCTTTTTGGCGCACTGAGGTGAAGACACTGCAGCGTACGGATACTGTTGTAAACGTTTTAGCCTTCTTAGCTATGGCTTCCTGCTGGCGGACGGCTTAATCAACATGGGCGAATCGGTTCACTTTCTGTACCGTAGAGAAGCTAACAGAATTGCTAGAAACTCAGAAAGGATCGTCAGTCATAGTCAAGAGAAGCTGACACAGCTTTTTTGTTCTCAGATGTAGCCCAATTATGTGATCACTCATGCTTTAAGTTCGGAACTGCTTTTTATGGAAACTACAGGCTGCTTGAATATTCATGATCCAAAATAAAAATCCCCTCAGTAACAGCCACTTTATAGTACCTTACACTGTCGTCCATGTAACAGCAAGGAGACAAATGAGCCTTCGCGAAATAATCATTATTTCCTTTGGTTTCTAAACAAGGAATGAACGATATGAAATGATATAGGCTAAAGGTTGTCAAGATGTGAAGTTTTTACGGAATCGTCAAAAAAATCTCTTGAAAAACTATACTTTCCAACGGATAAAAAAAAACAGCGGAAAGCAGTAAACGAGATTTGATGAGTCGCTAAAGTAAATAAGGCCACAGCGCCTCGATAGGCAATTTGTTTCGTTTTGCGGTGCAAAGATGCTACACTTGGCTATCGTAGAAGTTTTCCTGAGTGACCATCGGCAGCTCTCTTCAAACTGGTTTTCCGCATTTGTGTATTATTGCCAGTGATGACTTTGAAGGGAAGACTATAGTAGGCCTCGTTGTTTGACAACGACTATTACTTTATACAAGCCGACCAGGAAATATGTGAATATTGAACAGGACGGTATATGCACGAGCGCTTTTCCAGGCCTACAGCGATATATTTATAATGTGATTACTAGCATAATAATAATTCCACTGTGACATTTGACAGTTAGATACTTCTTGCAATTAACTTTAAGTGTTTGATCGGGCTCCGATTTTGACTGTAATTATTTTTCATTAAAAACTTGCAAACTAACCTGGATCTTTTCTAATAACGCAATTTGCCGACGTCCTCATGATGATGCAACGGTAGCTGTTTATCTACTAAATTTATGATTATGCGATTGTTTAGGTTGGAATCTGGGCGTGGGCACATCTCGGTTCGTACAAACGATCAGCCGTTTGAAGCAACATCTAACGACTTAAGTACAGGATGTAAAACTCGAGACATTTTTAATACGATTTCAGTTCAATTGTGGGATGGCCAACTATCACTTGAACATATCGTGTCTTTTTTTCGCAAGTTGTAACAAGGCATAGCTTGCGATTTTGTTGGCAGGAGTCTTTCAAACCCATGGTACACGATGGAGACAACAGACCCATTCCGATATGTAAACTCAGCCATTCTGAGTGACACTTAGTGATACACCAAATGAGGTTTAACGCTCGAATTCTAGCTGCTTTTGTCAAATTCGTCTTCTAGGTGGAAAATCTTGAACTCCTCACATGTCGGTTTGCATGTGTCGTATGAAATAAACTATACTCCCCGCATTAAAAAAAAAGTTATGAAATCTTTTTTAGCAGTCAGTCAAAAATTTTTGTAATACTAAAAATTCTTCAACGAAACACTCGATTTAGTTAAATTTGTGAGATGACCTTATCGACTCTATTAAAAACTGCCTCTAAAGATTCCCTGCATATTATTTTCACTTATGATGTGTAAAAGTGATACGTAAAGATGTAGGCCCTGCGTATATATATGCTAAAGGAACTCTTACTAACATACGCATTCCACTTTTCGCTTTCAAATCTGTCTTGACCTCGTTTCATCGGATCTGCTGTTATGGCGCACCATCGTACCGATGTCGATATTGTAACGCATATAAAACACCATCACCATGACCACAACATCGATGTTCCAATTTTACCCGTGCCTTGATCAAGGGCCTTTTCGGCGATCTTTTCTGCTGCCTCGCCTGCTATACTTTGCTTGATTGCTATGTCGCTATCGGGTATATTTCGCGAAATGTAAACGCGCATATGGTGCGCTCTTAACCAAATACGATGCGTACGTACAAGCAACGTTTGCTTAACGCTTCTATCGAATGTCGTCGGAAACGACGCGCCGTTATGACGGGCTGTCTAAAACGCGCCTCAACCTCAATGGTATCGTTACGGTCGCCATTTTGTCCTGCCAACAAACTCCAACAACAACAATAACACACTGACGCTGCCATCGCTATCGACACGCTAACGACAGACGGTTGTGGGCAACATCGGTGTACATTCTCTTCCATCAGAGTCGGCCGTGCAGACTGTATTTGAGTGCGTGGCAAGGGAACTTTTTCGAAACGACATCTCCTGGGGACGAGTAGCAGCGCTTTATTCACTGTCGGGCGGATTAGCCATCGACTGCGTCAAGGTACGTTCCTCTATTCGCGAAATGGCCTTCAGGCTTCTGACGCGCACCTCTTAGGTACATGTGTTGCATAAAACATTGACTATTATATATCATTCCGCCACTCGTCGATGGATGCTAGTAATGTTTAATAGGCAGGACTTACTTTTTCAGACTTACAATAACTGCTACACAACGAATACACAGCCAACATTTTTTTGAAGCGCCACATTAGATATGGGCCTGTTTCCATAGTAGGTCTCAAACATATCGATATAATACATTTCCCAATTTGAGAAATTTTCGTTCTGTTGTAATATATATGGTGTATATTTACTGAATACCCAGTATTAATCAATAAATATTAGTTATATGAAATTGGTTGAAGTTCATTATTTACGGAAGTATTTATCCTCAAAGGAGGTAGGTGAACGTGGATGTTTTTACCTCTTGCTCAATATTTTATTGTGTTAATGATGGTAATCTTCTACATCCTTCCAGTTGGGCCACCCTGAATATATAATGACCATTGTTAACTCGCTCGCGTTATTTGTGGAGCGAGACCTTGCGCAGTGGATTGCCCAACAGGGCGGCTGGGTACGTATCAAACTGTATGTCAAGTACCCTAATGTACTTCGACTTGAACGTACGTGATTATCTTATAAAAACGAATATTAGGAAAAAAATCATTAGTCGAAAATCGTTATGTGCTGTTTATGCCTATATTCTTAATATAAGCTTAACCAAAAAACGCGTTGTTTTTGAATAGGGTGTAGCCCTCGTATTCAAATGTGCGTCTGGTAAATAAGATAAATACGGCGATTTATCTAACAGGCTATAAAAGGAAATACGGCCCTTCCGATCGGCGTGAAAAATATTTAAGCGACATTTATTGAAACCAAAACATTTTCTATGAAATGAGGCAGCCACGCGTTAACTGCACTTGCAGGTATCAGAACATTTTTGACGGCTTTTACTTCATCCTCACTGAGAAGTCGGTAGCGATTTCAACTGATTCATTTTTTTATCGGCAAGGTCGTTTCAGCAAAAAAAATTCTGTGGGCATGCGACATTAATTTCTGTTACACGTAAGCTTGTGCAATCTGTATCTAAGCTTGGAGACTCCGCGGGGCAAACTTGTGCACGACCGCATCAATTAAAATAATGGAATTTAGGTTTAGAAAGTTTTGTGCAGGGATGCGTCTTTGGCCTTAAATATGTTTCTCGCCCGCGACAGCCCTTCTTATTTTGTAAGAATGGAAACTCGGCGATTAGTGCTGCTGCTATAGATTGAAAATTGACATTATATCAAAATCTTATCTGAAACTTCTTGCTGTCTATAGAAAAAAATGCCGGAAGTTGTAAAGTGAATTTCTTCTTCGTTGACTGTTTAGTACATGAGTGCGTTTGTTGGCGTTTGCTATTCGCTGCTCCCGATGTGGCTTTTTCAGCCGGATCATCACAGATGACGAGAAATACGCTAGTTAATCATCAATCAATGGACAGTAATAGGAACGATTAAAACAAAAACCCAACACAGAAAGCGTCAATTGTCAATTTTTGGCTCTACACTAAAGCAGTCGCCAATAAAAAAAAAAAAAGCTTTCTCCTTCAGCAGCGCAACGCCTAAGCACACATCCGCAAAGACGATCTAGGACATTAGTACACAGACGCGATGGGAATAGTCACTCCGTTTACGTTATTCACTTGACAAATAAGTGTCTAATACAATGAACTTCAACGAAAAAGCCACATCCTTACTTTTCAAGGCCCCGAAATCAGAAATTCTATGACTATGGAATACATTCCCTGCGTAATCTATGGTAGCAAGAATATTTTTGTGAAAATCGATTGTGTACAACCTGCTAAGTAAGTCATGAGTCATATACGGGGCTGGAAAACCTATTTATACAGTACGTTCAAAAGCAGTTGGGTTCCGATACTAAACATTATCTTTATAAAGAAATACGTGCTATCTGCGAGAGGTGTTGACACTTCTAAACCATATGTAAACACTACAACTTTAATGAAACCCAACAAGAAGAGTCTCGCATATTGTAGAAGTAGGCTACCTTTCGGAGCACATTGCCTGTAATAACTTTTAGATTACCTTTGACTACCTGTAAAAATCCCGTACACGTTTGATCTGGTATCTTAGAGAAAGTATTTGTCTGTCTCAGAAAAGGACTGCTGTTGTTTTTTTAAGACCATAAACTAACGCGTTAATGAGATGGATATGTATCGTGATGCTGATAAGTGTTGTCGTTAGAAAGCGATGCAGAACGCTTCTTCCATTGCCAAGATAAGCGAGACTTAGCAAGAAACTACTCGAGATTCGCGAAGGTGCGTTTCATGGCAAAAGAAAATAAACATAGTTTTACCTTTTATATGTCTGATTTCAATTCTGCCTAACATGGTGGGTCAAGCAATAGACCTTAATATTCATAAAAAAAAGAGTCTCAATTAGAACATCCGAACTTAAATTGTGCAAACTTTTCGCAATAACATAGTCTAGTCACGTTTGTACGTTATAGGTAGTTAAGTTTTATTGTTGGTAGTTAGACCCAGCTGACTGCATTCTTATTTATAATGTTCGCTTGGCGGGCTAAGTGCGGAGTAAATATTAATGGAACATGAAATTATAATCATTTCGTATACCTGACGAAATCTTCAAGTTCGGATGCGGTTAATTCAAGATATTTAATGACGGGATAATTTATCTAAACAGTGCTTTTAGTACGCTCCAAAGGCAGGAAATTCAATGCGTGGCGCATACTTAAATGTTCTGTGCTCCATCGAATGTAATAGTTATCGTTTCTGACAAGCGTTCGAAGGTAATAATTAAAAAATTTTCGACGCCTCGCTTTTGCCAATGTTATCAACGCGTTAATCTGACGCACTTCCAATCTCATAATACATGAAGCATGGTCTGATTTAGAAAAGGCAATATGGTCGCAACGATGATCGACAGCCTCTTGTCTATCGGCAGGACAATCATCCAGTAAGAGATTGTTAGGCAGAGCACTAGGTCTGCAACGCAAGTTCCTTTGTAGATCCTGCACATAGTCCTGCTGGCCAAAATATATGTAGTAATAAGCCAAATACATCGCACTGTATAAGGAGACAGAAAAAAGGATTTTACTCAAATAGCCCATCATCTGAATACGGATTGCGATTGACCCGCATTGCCCTGGCGCCAATCGTTGTACATACATATAGGTAATACACGTGTAGCAAATCAAAATCAACTCTGACAAACTCAAGACAAATCGGCAACTGTAGAAAACCTATATCTCCGCTAGCACTACGCAACATGTAGTATTGCACTGTGCACGATGACTGAGCGATATATTAATGATCGTCTTCAACAGGCTGCGAAACATTCGTTCTTATAGAAAATACTGGCTTTTCGAAGTTCAGTCCATTGTAAGACGGGGTTTTTTGCCGTTGCGTCTTGCTACGTCAGTACACGGTAAGACCACGAGCATCCACGAGAAGAACGGCGTAAGTCTGGTAGCCGAATCACCTCAAGAAGCAGACACGGTCTCGAAGATTTTTTTTATTTATATTCTCAGAACATATTAGCTGATTCGATGGAAATTTATAGTCAGAATCTCTTAGCAAATGCCTTTTAAGTCGCATCATTGCTTCATAAGCGTTGTGTTGGATTCTCTTTGAACGGAAAATGAAAACCATTTTGTCCGCGTGTTAGTTTGCTTCGATAGTAATTACTATACTTTTCATTCCGAAAAGATTTATTATTTTACAGGCCAATAGTGATTACAGAATCTGAAATGCGTTGATAGCAAAATGTCAATGTGGCACCTCATAGAAGTCCACCGTTTATGAGAAATAAGACATCCATATTCGACTCATTTATTATTTCATTTAGCTTTGGCAGTAACGACGGCTCGCCAAATACACAACTCATATCACATCCGCTGATTAATTTACGGCTCCATTCAAGGATTTCTAAGAGAATAGAGAAGTGCGTCAGGAATCTACACTTATGTTTAGAAAACTCTGCCATCCTCAGTAGGTGTTCTTCATGAAAGCAGGACTGTAATAGGATGAGAACTTCTAGGAGGTCATCCGTGATCAAGTTTTGTTCAACATCCCCATTTGCCCCTTTAAACCGGGGTATAATTCCGTAAACCCCCAATTGTGGTATCATTGGTAATTCAATAATTACTTCCGTTCGCTGAAACAGAATTCTGATCGTTTTCGTGGCTGAGGGACCTACTCTGTCCTGAAAACATTCGTGGCTTCGACGAATCCTGATGGGAATACTGCCGTCAGCGATGCCGTAATCAGCCAGCCACCGGAATAGTTCTAATTTCTTCTATATAGACTTAAATAGCGAAAATAAAGACAATAAATATATCGTAATAGTCACGTAAAACAACCACGTCAAGTAAAAGTGAAGTATTATTTTTTTATTCGTAAGGCCCATAGTGTTGCTAAACTAGCTGTTGGAGGATTGCATTGGATAAAATGTACCCCATCTATCATTTTAATTCATCTATAGATCAACACTTAGTGTAGCCTACCTCCCGTCTTGGGAAGAGCCTTGTCTTGTTTTTATTCTGCCTAACCTGATCATCTGTGACACTATACTTTCAGATATAGAGCCTTACAATATCTATGCGACTAGAAGTCACATAGGTTTACTATGTGCGCTTAAACGTACCTTTCGAAGACATGAACTATTCGAGCTTGATGCACATCTTCAGTCATTCGCTGTCTATCGGCCGACTTACTCTAGGCTTACTTGACTTAGCTTCCGTCCCAGATATTTTTAGCCTACTCTAGATAGCTTTACATCCACTTCATTTGAATGGGAAGGTTGCCCAGGAGTATCTCTAAAGTCTTCTGAAGTTATTCGGAATTACCATCGGCTGTTTGCCTTTTATATTTACCCTCAACAAGTGTCACTTCTGCTCAGACCGATTATCAATGAGGTGTATACAAGTTTTTCAGTGATCTTAAATTTTTATTTTAACATTCACGGCATTATATTAACATTAATAAGAATCTACATTCTGTGCTTTAAAATATGTAAGATTTGAAATGACCCAAAAAACTAAAGCATTTTTTATTTACCGATTATTTGTTTTATGCCTCAGAATATTTTACACGTGTTAATCGAGAAAACAGATAAGACTCATGGACTTTAAATCACGGCTAATCATTTATGGGTTTGCTTATCTAGCTCTGTGCGGCGGGACACACCATATTCGAACCCCTGCTAAAGCTTGTGCCTTAAGCCACCGTGAGCAACAGAAGCGTCGATTTTTGAAGCGCACCTTTCTTTTGCTTTTTTTGATGATTACCTATCTAAGTAAGCACATCTCTATCTGAAGGCCTTATTCGTTCTTGCAGTGCACCTCCATTTTCGGTTAATACGATGTTGTTCTATTGTTTCACAATATTGATCTGCATCTAATTAAAAGATATACGACGCGGCAATGGGGTTGATGTTTATTGAAAGTTGACGTTTTCCAATTCCGTAAACTTTAGGCAAAACCAGTATAATTTTAACCCTCAATTTATTGTGTTCGGTACCAGTTTGAGATCCAAAAATGGGGAAAGAGAAGCCCGTTACTCATGAGGAATACCAACTGATTTGACAAAAACGCAAGATAATATTTAGATTATACATTTTTACATTTGCATTACATTTATGACGGACTATTGTGTTCAACAACTGTGTCTATTGCTGAACGTTTCGCATCCATAACGATTTAAAAAATATTTGACTCTATCTTTTCAGACCGCGTTAATCAGCCGCTTTAAAACGGAAAGCACTCGTTCTCGTCTTCTCGAGGTCGGTCTGATGTGCATACTCGTCATACTGGTCCTTATCGCCTTGAAGCAAATTATCCTGCGATGAACGAGGTCCAGTAATCATTGGAGGAACATTGAACAAAAGTAAAAGATATACGTGATAATGAGAGAAAGCAAAAAAAAAAGAACGAATCATTGAATTTGTAGAAATGCTAACAGACAATTAAGTGAGTGACGGCAGTATCTGTGATGACTGCATGTTGTGCACCATCAGCCGTCCAATGTGGGCGCCTATAAAAGCAGGCGTAAAAAGCTGCGTGTTGACACTTGCGTAATCACCAGTTTATTACGGGGAATTGTATCGAAATCGTCTGAGGTTGGAGGGAAGTCATACTGGTGCCAGAATACTAGGGCGCAAGCAGTGGAGAGTGAGTAAAAAAAGGAGGCTTCTAGAACAGGAAATACGAACGCGTACCGTACGGCGATCCGTAGCGTACATGGAGCGTAAAATCTTTCGGCCTGATTTCCCTTTTCATGCAACTTGTGGTGGTAATAAAAATAATCTCATACAATCATCTAATTATATTATTAAGCTAATTAGCAAGGTTATAATAAAGTATTCTATCAAGTCCCTATGCGCTTGCTAATAGGTGCAAAGTTATGTGGAGGCCTTTCTCAAGCACTTCGATAAATTTCCATATACCTATTTTAGACTATTAAAAATCGCCTATGTTTAGCGGGAAATTAATGTGCTTCTGAATATTTTTAGCTGAATCGGAAAAAGAAAACTTGAAATGTTTGTTCTTTATGGTGGTGGTTTATGAATAATATGACAGTGAATCGAGTTTGACAGTGAGCTTGTTAGTCCCCTGTAGTTTCAGCACGTCGCAATTGATAGCTGAATGCAAGCGATTATAATTACGTCAGCCGTCAATGGCGGCAAATTTTCAAATGAATTTGGCTACTAAGTGTGGAGAATGTTTCAGCTAACGATTATTCTATTGACTGCATGATATAACAAAAAAATAAGTGTATTATTTGACAGTTAATTAATATATAACACGGGTGTGCATACATGGATAAGCATGCCATAAATACAACAGAATAAGATGGATGAGCGTTATATGATGTCGTATGGAGAATCGGATGTAACATAACAACGGTTCCTAAGAAATCACGGCTTTAGCGTATTATATTTATCCAGTTAAAGTTTTCCAGTCCAACGGGACGCATAACCTAATAATTGTCTACTAAATAGACGGTTTCCTTATGAGTCTCAGCTGCTTGTAGCAAAAGACAGGCATTAAACATGTTAGGTAGATGAATTCAATCAATATTCAATGAAATAAATATTGGTTCATTAAACGATTCTGCAAGTCTTTATTCAGATCTATTCATCGAGTTGGATGCCTGCGTCGGCAGCTCTATAGTCTATATTTTTCGCCCTTAACCTTGTTGGATCAATTTGACTTTGGATATTCATTCAGACACAATCGTTTCACAGATCTACAAAGAGTTTGAGTTACACCGCTGTAGTCAGCCAGGCGTGTCCACACAAAATGATGAGAGGGAGGCGTGCTACTTCAGTTCTACGGACTTCAAAGAAACACAGAACAAACTAATCCAAACCTTCAAGGTTCTTCGGAAACCCTAACTACCCTGTCAGTTCAAGTTGCAACAGTCCTCGCGGACAGTTTTATTACGATTCTAGAAAGTGACAGACTTGTGAATAGATGTGGAGTTATAAGAATTACAGGAAACAGCTGTGAGTATCCCGTAAGGAACAGTGTTTTAAGTTGGAGTTTACGCATGGGAGACAAAGTGGCGGAAAACGCTCCCATTGCGCAAGCCCTCTAGACGGAAGTGTAAAGACTACTATAAATGACCTGTTATATTCACACAAATTGCATAATATTTACGTGCGGCAAAACGTCATGTAACGATATGATAATAAATTTGATTTATATGTGTTCTGTATAACGCGCAAGCTTGCTGTGATGGCTCACATTGCTCGAAAATATTGCCAAAAAATTGTATAGAGCTCCATGTTGCGTACTCCTTAAAACATGCATCGATAGGTTACTTCGGTTAGAGAGTGATAATAAGCAGCCGCGGTATGGTAACCGATCCATCTGGTGGTAATGTAAGCAGATTAAATACAATGGTGACGTAGTAACGCCGATTGATTTGAGTCGGGAGAAATGAATTCATTATGTAGCTCACAAACATGTAGCGCAGTTCCCAAAAGATGAAGCTTCAGATCTGAGGAGTGGCCGATCGTAAATAATTATGCTGCAAGCTGATTGCTAGAGCACTAATCGTATAAATTAGATGTAGCTTATCGTGTTGTATCTAACATTCAATCCCCATGTCGATTATGAAAAGTGTGTTTATATCTATTTGGCTCCATGTTTTGAAGCCATTCGGATCAAGAACATTTTGCGGAAAGGATTCTATCGTAAGTAAATTTGTTTAGATATTTAGATTTTCTATTTTGGTGTTAACTACTTGAGAAAATATCTTGCGACCAAAAAAAAACATGATTAATGCATCGCCATGATGTCGTACTTCGCTGTCAGCCAAAACGAGAATAAAAAATACTGAAGGTCCCGTATTTGGTACAGAAAATAATTTGGTTTCTCATATAGCATTTTGCTATAGCGTGAACAGGAAAACTATCTCGGGCACTGAATTATCACGTTGTTCTTATAAAGTTTTCGCCAAACGCACTGACTAAGACACGCTGGTATATGGACCAAATCAGTACATATGGAGCTACTCCGTTAAGTCTTCTTTAAACACCCAGACCGAATTACTTATTTCTCAGATGAAGATGAACCGAATGAACTAGCCGTTGGAGTGGTTGCTTTCGAGTCTTATTTTAGATTTTATTTCTACTCAAGTTTAAGATAATCTTCACCTTGCCCGAGCGATTTTCACAGAAATCTAATAAATATTCTTTATAAAAAAGAGTGAGTCGTAGTAACTATTCATAACCATATGTGAAGACTATGGCGGCTCGAAGCAGACGGGAAAAGTTCTTCCTCATCGTTGTGTCAATTAAACTCTACTTTGACATACGTACGTTGCCATGCAGTTTGAGCTTTAAAAAAAATTATAAAAAGTGAAGTCTTTTACACAGATCACAAAGATCGTGCAGAACCGCAACGATGGGCACGTCCACCGAAAATTAGAACTGGAACAACATAAATATTCTGCTTCAGCTTCACGTTTCTACTAGTTTTCGTCGTAAATTCTCTACACCTTTCAAAGGTATAATTGCTCGCCTCCCTAAATAACAATCTTTAAAACTTCTTATTTGTGAATTTTCTGTCACTATGGTTAAACAGCATATAAAAAAAAATAGAATAGTACGCCTTACTAGCGAACATTATGTTTATATAAAACAGATGAACAAATTTCAAATCTAAGACTATTTTGGTAACTAGAAATCCTAGAGAATTGAAAATTGACCTTGGAAATAATTCTTCAAAAATTTTATCAACAGCTGCTTTAAGAAGAACGAAACGCTTTAATACAAATAGCTACATGTAATTTAATTGGTTTCCTGGCTAGTTCTGTGAATATTTGCAGAAGACGACACATTAATGAAAGAGTAGCCATTTAACATAATTATATGTATACTCCTATTAATTAAGTTAATTCTATATAAAACAAGTTATATCCGAATATTCACACGAAAGTCAGTCTTTTTTATTTGTCGTTCCGTTCAGTCAGACGTTTACAACTATTATACAAAAAAAACTTAACAAACGAAAGAGTCAATAAACTTGACGTTCTCAAACGTTTGATGTTACCACCAATGCTCTTGCTTACAAAGCTTAGTCAAACGAAGGGTATATTTTTATTTATTTATTATATTTATTTATGTACACAGAAAATTTAAAATGTATAGTTTCTACCTTATTTTGGGCATGTTCCATCGATCCAGAGTGTCAATCGACACCCCACATAATAGATATTGGCCTAAAACCAAAACGTATTAATAATATACAAAATTCGCCGTCTCTTGCCCTTTGCAGAAAAGCTAAAAAGACGACTGAAATGGTACAATTATGCGATAGCTTTATTCGATCTTTAAGCACGACATTTTCGCCCCACGTTATCAATGCAAGCTCTACGCACATATGGTGTGTAGCAAATTTGCTTAATAACCTACTAATTTCTATCTTAGTCAATTAATATCTTGTCGAACAACAATGTTTGATGGGCTGCGCATACTCCAGGCTGACTCGAGCTTCCGAGTCAAACATGTTCTTTGTCGTTCTAGTCTAATATGTATCGATCATGCAGTTAGGTTATTTCCTGGCCACTTTTTCTTTTTGAAATCAACTATTGATGTTGTGTGCTTTTGAGTCGTTATTTGTGGGCATTTTCTTATGTGTATAATGTGATCATTTCAATTGAATTTTTAGTTAAAAATATGATAATGCCGGTAAACTTAACTACAATTTATTCGCACGACTCTGCAAAACTGTGTTGAAAAGGTAACCGATCTCTAAACTGGAGACTAATCGAACTAGATATAGCAGAAAATTAATTTAGCTAATCAAATTATGACAGTTCTATTAAAAGTCGAATATTTTTTTAATTCTAAAAATGTTCCCGATACGTAAGAAAGTTGAGTACTTTTCTTATAATTTAAGTGTACTCGGAAGGCTCATAATACAACCAGCTTTGTGCACAGAAATATAAAAATCAGTTTGTATTCATCGTTCTTAGGCAATTATTTGAAAAGCAAACACTATGCGTCATGATTCCTAAGCTCTGCAAAGGTGCAAGCCGTCTCTACCTTTATCTTTACGGCTGACTGTTCACTGTGACGATCAAATTCTTCAAAACTTTCTAATATATCTTCAGGTAATTCTTGTAAATCCCCATGATGACCTGTCTGCGAAATTAAAACCATATTTTGTCGTTCATCGGCTACCAAGGATGAGATCTCACAGTTTCGTTGACTTTTCTCGTTGCTAGCCGTATGCTTGTCATATTGGTCGGACATTGGCATCGCTTTAGCTGACTCCACGATTCGGATAATGTCTTCACGATTCTCGGCTTTATGTACAAGCCGATAGTGACGATAAAGATTCGATCGGATCCCCGTTTGATATCCGCACAGAACGCACTGATCCTGGTCATGGATCGAATAGGCGAGATTTGGTGGAAAATGGGAAGCCGGCATTACTGTGCGATTTGATGAAGATACCAACCTCGAGCAGCTCGTTGTTTGGATCGGTTGCTGCCCGATAGTTCTATTTCGAGCTATGCGTGGACTAAACGAGGACATCTGACTTTCTAGGCGGGTTGGCCGACCACGCCGACAAGGCCCTATGTTCCCCAAATGCTTAACCCGGTAATGACGAGTCATATTGCTGCGGAAAGGTGACCGATAATTACATTCTGGGCAAGCAAGTTCTTCTTCTGAAATATATGTCAAAGGATCTTAATATTAACTCTGTGCATTAACCTAACAACATATACTTAATCTTAATCCTTAAAGCCTGTTTAAGGAATTAAAGTCATATTTTTTTTCGCTTAAAGACAAAACTAAGCTTTCAACATTTATTTTAATCAATCATGAAGTATCTGTAGATATTTTAAATATTGTTTGTAAGATGCAGAACAAAGCTTGACCGTCTAATTCATTCGACGTTTTCGCCCTAATTCACCGAAGCCAACGGTCGTGTTTCTCGTTCTTTTCGATGAAATAACTTGAGAAAGTATCTGACGTAGAAACTAGCTGAACTTTTATTACCACCTGCAAATATTGGAAGTCTGTTAGTTTCTATTCTCATCATTAGTGCGCAATATCAACAATAATTTACTGCGTTTTCGAAAAATAATGCATCATTGTTGAACTGAGTACCGGATAATCGTAGACCTGGCCTATTCTAACTTTATACTCAGTAACACATATATTGCAAGTACCAAAAGCTAGATTCGATTCTTATTCTTAGTAAAGGAATTACATAATATTATTTGAACCGTATTCCCCATCGCCTTGTCCTTCCATGTATTTAAGATCATAGTATATGTTACATACATCCATTGATGTGCTTCCTTGCTCAACCACTAAATTGGCAAATATTATAATGAAACAAAATTTGAGTAAACATTGTTTCGCCCTAAATATTCGCCACTGTCATTATTACATATATGTCGTATTATTATATGATTAAGCGTTCCCGTTGCCACACTACAGTATCTAACCTTGCTGTTTGTCATATAGACTTTAAATCATTCCCAACATAACAGGACGACGAATAAAATTTTGCGAGATACAGATAATGGTTACTGCTAGTTATTATTCTTTTAGGCTCGTATCTTCCGTGATATGAGACCTTCAATAGCATGTAGCATCATTTAAGCTCACAGTCTTTGATTTTAGGTGAAGGGTCGTTCATTACGGCTTCGGTAGTATCTGTTTCGCAATCTACAGTGGAAATATGAATAAGGTCTGAAAAACACTGGATAAAGTAAATTTAAGTATATACGTACCATCTCATTTACATATTGACAATTCCATGCAGCTCGTATAATACTAGTTGAAAATGTCCATACGTAACAAGCAATATCAGATCCCTAGTAAGAACCCTACATAGCACTGGACCTGATGCGCAGCAACGTTGAACAACAAATCTGATGCAGAAAATGTTTCACACTAGCCCCTGAAACATCCTAAAAAAGCGAGTAGATTGGGATAAAGCAATCAATAGTATCATTTTTAATACTGACACAACTTATTGAAGGTCTAGGTGACTTGTTTAAAATAATTTTACGCTGCAATAACGGCATTCTATGACAACGATACTAGATCGGCGAACCTGTAGTAAACCTTTTTTCGTATCGAAATTATGTATTCAAAATGTTTATCCTTTATTTACTACGAGCTTAACGTACTGCCTTCTCGTCATACCTTTTAAAAGCATCCATCTATCGTTTTTGACGAGCCAATAATCACTAGATGCTACCAGCGCGCTTATCCTTAGTTTAAAAGTTAAGCACTGTTTTCACTGGGATAATGAAATAGTTGTTCGCGGCGTCCTCTGACCTGGAAAGGAAATAGCGAATTATTCTTGCAGCCAACCTAACTATTCTACAAGTGTTTAGTCAACACTAACGTGGTGGGTAGATGGTCCTCTATTAAATCTGATGTAGTAGTGGTGGACGTTTTGCTCCTTTCCTTTTGAGAATATTGGATATACGAAGTGAAATAACTTAAAAATAAAGTGTGTTTTTCAAATAACATATATACATCTGTCTCTAAGATAACATCACATATGTAGTCTCGAACAGCTAAATGTAACAGTACCCTCTTTGTATACGATCATATGACACATGAGTATTGTCTTGCACACACTTTTCAATAAAAATGTGTTAAATGAAAACACTTTCAAGTAATAGAGTTTTCTTATTTTTACATTTATTAATACGTAATATGACGTCATTATATTATATCTTACTATACATTATTCGAATGCGTCTTTGTTTATGTACTGTGAATACTTAAATCGGTATAGGGACATATTTTCACTATCGAGTATAGACTCAGGCTCTCAATCCAATCTGATAAATATGTATACTTCAGGTAATCTGTTTTATTATCGTAAAGAAACTCTGAAAGGTTGTTGCACAATCATTAAATAATAAATCTCTTCTAAAAAGTGTAGCCCCACGGATTAATGGACCAAAATGGGCCGATCACAACTCAGCATCTGAATTATTTACGCTTACAGTAGTACAGTTTCAGTGCAGCATTAGGATCTCCTTTTTAACTCATCGGTATTATCGTATGATATCCGGCGATATGCTCCATCACAGTATTGTTTCCATATGTGTGCTTAGTAGATATAAAGATGCAATTGAAGCACTTTCTATCTATCTTTCTTGATGTATATAATCTTCTTACGCAATATGTTCAATTTTTCACTATTTCTACGTCAGGATCTATCGAATTGTTGCTTTGATATGACTAACGAAAACTTTTAACTTTAAAAATTAATATAGCTAAGCAGGTAGTTTTAATACATGAAGCTCACGTGTCGCATATACTTATATCATATATACAAGCTGCTCACAATAAATTAGGACGTTTTTTGCAGCACTATCTTTGGTAATTGAATAAAATCAGTTCATTCCAGAACTGAATTACAAACCCGTCATTACGGAGACAAGGACGTTCATCTTTGAATTATAAATTAAAGTTAATTACTACCTAATATTTTTGCACTAGGCAAACCCCATCAAGATCGTAAACTTATTTAGGCATCTGACACCGAAAGACGACCTTGTTGTTAGTCTTCATGCTGTTTTCGAAAAATGCAAAGTTTCCATAGAGAAAAGAAAAGAATCCACAATAGATATTATTATTAGGTGGTTAAAAAAATTCATTGAAATTGCGCAAAAAAGTAATTTTTTTGATTTTTAGGTTTTGACGCAGAGAAATTTGTGACTGTCCTCAAGAAAAATATTTATAGCCAGTCTTGTTATTCAGATATGCCCCAACGATTATTAGTCTTATTCAGACCTTTTGCGCGTTTTTGCACCTAGAAGATATAGATCCAAATTAGATTAAAATAATCTTCTTGGACTGTTAAAATGTTGAGGCTACACCATTGTTTCGCGTTTTATTTCCTATACTGTCGTTAAGCATTGTTTCAGATGGTTGCTCCCAACACGAAACATTCAGTTTGAAATTAGATTACCTCACATGTTGTTGAGTTTATAAGACAAACATATTACTGCTACACCGTTACAGGGACAAAATTCTGAAACTTTTGACCAACTCAAGATTCGAGCTCGCTACATTTTTCTATGGGCAAACTGTTCAAGCGACACTCTAACAAAGCTAAACGTGCCGGTGTCGCTTTATTCACTGTTGTTTCCAAAAAGTTATTCGTGAACGCACAGAGGAAATCTCTGAAAACAGTATGAGGCCGTAGTGAGCCCCGAAATGAAGCCGTTCGTGGAACGATTGACAATCACAAACACATTCATCAGAGACCTCTTGCTCAGCATTTTCTAAAAAAAACTACCCAAATATCTGTTTTTATTTAAGTCCAGCTTCTAAGCAAGCAGCAATTCATCTCGTCCCAATTGATTGCCTTCTACAAGTCGATCCACCTAGACACCTTATTATGACTATAATCCACAGAAAACACTAGAAAAAACTAAAGGCTTTTTTTTTTCGTTACGATAAGCTAAAGCGCAGAATGTAATAGATCGATCGTGCGATATTTGAAGAAACTACCAAAATTGAAGTTGATTTAACATTATAGTGATCACGCATAATGAGATCCGTTTAAGAATGTATCAAATTCAAACAGTGCTAAAATTATTCTATAATAGACTTCTAAACATTTAACCTCAAAATTGATTGGCAAAATGTACATGTACAAATCAACAACTAAATGTACATGCTAACGTTAATAAATATAACAGGTTTCATTTGCTAAGCGCAACAAATAGAGTTGAAAACTATCACACGGTTCTAGCATTTGTTTTCTTCTATATTACGCTTCTCCTCAGTCTTATGGAACAATAATGATAATGACTAAGCTAACTCGCTTTGTGAGCAAGAGGTATACATGTAAATCTGATGTCCACTCTTTACAATAGATAAATCTATCTGTCTACATGTCGATCTATCTGCTCATATTCATTTCTCATAAACATGCGACGTTCGAAATAAATACAAACAAACGACACCGTAAAACCTAATGACTCGAAGCGGTGATGTACGTTTTCCCTGCGTTTTTAAATCAAGTCTCTATTTTAGCACAGCAGATCTCTTTGTTAAAAAAAGTACCTTCGGTCTGAAAGCAACATTTTATGGGCTATTACGACTCGCGTTGATACCATGCTTGGAACTCCTATGTAATATTGTTGGCGATTTTATTTATTAAACGGCGTTCTCTGCCGTTTTATAGGGGCATTTCGTACATCAGCCGCTCCTTCACGCAACGTGGTATCACAAAATCACCTTATCCATGGTGGATACAAAGTCATCTACAGACAACTAATTTAATCACCACCGTTATGGCGAATGCGGACATGTCTATCAAAGTCGGCAACATTTGCAGTACCGTAAGGACAATATGGACACTGAATCCCTGCTGCGTCTCCAGCGCTTTCAAGGACGCCACTCCCTCGAAAATCTGAGGTGCCAATAACTCCTGGCGGAAGAGCACCCGGCCCTTCAGGCTCGACGCCATGCTTTCGTCGCAGATGCCGGTTGTAGTTACTCGTGTCCGCTGTAGCATACTCACAATATCCGCACTGTATAGTTTTTTCGCCTGTATGTACCCGTTCATGTTTGTCACGGTTGCCGGCTGATGTTGCGATGTATCCACAGAAGCGGCACAGAAATCGACGTAACATAGCTCCCCCGGCGGAGGGCGGTATCGGAGGTGGTGGCATCTGCTGAGACGGATCGCGCCGCTGTTGTCGGTTATAGTTTCGACGATTCGAAGGCTGTGGGTCAAGCTCATCAAGTATGAAGTCAAGTGCCGAGTTGTCCAGATTGTAGTTGGCCACTTGTGCGCGCCGAGGATGCCGAGGCGAATAACCTGAGCCTGAGTTAGAAACAATAAATGATATTTCGCAGTGGTCATCATATTTTACTGTTGTGCAACTTAGTAAAAAACTATGGGTTAGTTTCAACATAGACTTTGAATTGTTTCCGATTAGCCAATTGGTGTATCTTTTTTACCTTTTTATCGTTAATAAAATCAAAATACAATATTGCAAGATTATGAGTAAATTTTATTTCCTACAGAATGGCTCTGAGAGTCAATTACAGTTTTGAGCTATGAAGCTTTGAGTTTTCTAAGCTCAATGAATAGCATAAGCAAAATGATTAGCTGACGCCTTCACTAGTGTAAACCGTTCCCCATGTTCATAACTGAAAATATCTGTTTCTCTTCAAACAGCTGGGACTCTTTGTGGTTTCGGACATTAATCAGTAGAGACATTGTTCGTACGCAGCACGTATTTTTATCACAACACACACAAGTCCACATTCAGTTGGCAGTTGTTTGTAGCAAACATCCTGAAAAAATACGAAATATTAATACATGTTGTAGTTTTAATATCAGCCTTATGTCACATAATACGTTTGTGTCTAGGAATGGCCGTTTATGTTACAATCCACGAGCACTGACTATATTAGGGCTTCGTGGCAGCCATACTATACTTTGCTTTATTAGCACATATTCTTTATGTATGCATGAACTACCTTCCTGAGTTGGCGTTCATTACGCTACTTCTCAGCTGACTGAACCACAGCCACACTTGCCGACCAACAAATCTTACAATATAGGACATACTGTCGCGTGCATTATTTTAATTATACATACAACCATCTGTAATCTCCAACTATTTTTATTAAGTTTTTTCCAATTAGTCGGTTAGCTGACATGTTCATACCATTGGAAGTTCTTACGACCTCCAATGCATGCTTTGTTTTAGAACGCCTTGCGGTAAATCCAACTAACGAAGCTTATTCATTCACATATAATATGCTTCTAACTATTAAGAATCTCATTTGAACACAAATATCGGTAACCATATGGAAAAAGTAATGACGAAGTGTATACAAGATGGAAAAAGCTGAACAAATGAGCATTGTCCGCTTAGTGTGAAACCGTTGAAAAAGTTTATCTTACCAACAAGTGTTAGTTTTTGAAGGTGAGGAAAATCCTTCTATATATCTCTATATCCGCATATCTAGCTAAAGCCATCAGCTATCAGTTCAATATAAGTGTTCGGAACTCCTCTATAACCACGACTGACATAAAAAGATGAAAACCTGTAAAGACTAAAAAACTGCATCTGTGGGTGCGTAGATGTATTCTAATTGTTACAAATATTTTTTATGGGACATAATTTTAGAGAAAAATGCATCATCTGTGCATAAAATAAGGCGCAAATTTCTTCATCTAGTCGACCCATTGATGTTTGTTGTGTAGGAAAAACAATATAGTAATTATATGAAACTGGAACATATGTAATGTTTATTTTCAATTTCCTTCTCCTGTCATCTCTTTACGATTTGTTTACCTCTATATCACTTGAAAGTGATTTATTTCTTCTGTAACACTATTGCAATTTAAATGTACAGTAAACGAAATTTCGTCTTTAGGCTTTGAAGATAAAGACTTTAAATGCATATTCGACACCTACCCTCATTCGCCTTTTAGCGAGACTAAAAGTTGTTGAAGCAACGTGAAATATTTATACTGTATACAGCGAGCATTCTCTATCTGTAAGCAGTGCTAGAAAAGGTTTGTAAAGTTTAAAGATAAAATCTTAAACTTAGAGCGTGTGCCCTATCGCAATAGACTATCCGAGGTCGACGAGGGCTCCGGGGAGTTAGTTGCCTAAAGAAAAAAACTGCGAATACTAAACTATTCTTAGGCATCTTGAATGATTGTAATTTTATATGAAATTAGAGGGCTGGACGTGTATGGACTTGATTAAGCACACAATGCAATAAAAGTTCTCATTGACCCCAAAAATCTCTCTCGGCACTGGTAACACGTAGCCACAGTGACAGGTTTCTATTCAGAATTGTCACCAGTGACAAAAAATGGTGCCTACACGTTGACCTAAAGCACAAAAAGTAACAAGTGGCTTCAGGAGATTCGCCTAAACCCAACATTAACACGGATCCACATTGAAAAAGGCAGAAAATTTGGGTTTTACCGGGACACCATATGCTAGAACAAAAGACAAAAAGGTGGAAGGGTCTCACACACTTGCAAATGCTTGGGAAGAACAAGAAAGTCAACAAGGTCTGTATATGATCAAGTTGTGTTGAGTGAATAAGGTCATCCAATAGAAAAGACCCAATAGACGAGGCAAGGCCACTCTCTTTCGTGAAACGCTGCGTCTTCTGTTAGGTGCAAAAATCAGAGACTGAACTTGCTTATAATCCAGCCTAATATATCTAGAATGAAGATTAGATATGTGTAAAAAAATATCTTAGTAGTGACCGAGAAATAATACATTTTGTTGAAATGTATAGACTGTACTCTAGGCCTCTAAATCAATCGTTACTCAGCCTGTTTTTACAAATTTTCATGTGAGCATACAGGAAAAACAACTGTCTTTCTTTTAAGTAATTGGCTTATTTCCAGAAATCACATTGCGGTCAGACTCCCAAGTGAAATTCTGTCACATCACATTAACTCATTATACGATCTTCATGGCAATAAAAACATTAGGGGTATCAAGAAGTAAATCATTCAACGATTTGGCCTGACGTAATTTGCAAAGCGACCACGAAAGTTACGAAGATTGCGAAGGAGAAGATACGTACAGTGGTTATGGCTGTGCTAAAGGGTGTTTCAGTATAGCAGAGATGGCAGGCTTTATTAATGAACAGAGGTATGAGCACCTCAAAATTTACCATACCAACCTTTGTCGCTTTGAATACGAAACCTTAATATCGTCCGAACGAGCTCGTAGATGATCTAAATATAATGCTTTTATTAACTTTTATGAACTTTTTATACGTTTAATGGTTGTCAAGTACACAAAAACCTGAAATAGGAATTTAAAAAACGGGAAAATCCAGTAAGCTTTAATCAGTGGCCTTAATCCTTAGGTATATGCACTGAGAAACGGCATACCGCATCACAATAAAGGTGTATTTTGCACTGCGCCGAGTTACTAACACCATTTTTGATTATAATGAATGAACACTATTTGAATAATGATTATAATTCGATTATACATATTTACGAATCTCTGTACTACACAAATGTTCTTAATAAAGCTCATCATAAGTTTTTCATGACGTAGATAACGTATTTATATCAATGTTTTTAAATCACTTATGTTGTTCTTTCGTCAACTTACATAAACCTGTGGCCTGTTATACATTTCCTCAATCACTTATTTGTGCATTATTGATCTTTGATCTAACCAGTCAATGTGTCGCCAAAAGTCATGGTGTCAGTTTGGGCTATATTCGTCCAACTGGCCAAGGAACAGCCTAGAATGGACGGCAATACAATTTCAGTGAGAGGTTACCTTGATTACAGCGTATCTCAGTCGAGAGTGGAAAACGCTACTATTTTCACGAGTTCTTATTGGGAGAAGCGAAAGCTGGGGAGAAACAGTGAAGGACAAAAAAATACAAACCAAGAAAATTTCTTACGCATGCCATTCTAGCATATTCGCTACAAAACGCCAACCATCTTGACCAGCGAAATTGTTGGTTTCCACAAAAGCGAGTTAATCGAATCGTGGCTCTCACATGATGCAGTCCATAAGCATCTGGCAAAACTTCTGGATAGATCGCTTACATAACTGAAGTTCATAAATTCACAGCAAACCATCCATCTGTTAACGTATCAATTAGGCTATCACTAACGAAAAAAAAAAAACTCACTTTTATGCTGAGCTAAACATCTGATCGAAAATTCACTTAATATTACTATTTAAACACCTACCGCCCACCCAATAATAGCTAAGTGAAACACCTGTGTGATAAAATTAAATCTGCTTACGGCCTTTTTCAATAATCTATTTTGCAACGAGAACATGGCCCTACGGAAATATGGCCGAGCACTGATCGGATTAGAGTTGGCTCTTCAAATTACGTACCTGAAGGTAGAAGTAAACATCAATTGAATTACCTGAGTTGAGCACTAGGATCAGATGCATGAGAATAGGTTTTATTCTAGCGATATTTTACACTGTCTCCGAATACACCGCCTCGGATTCACTCAACAGAAGCTCTGCATTTACAGAGGGGGAAACAAGAAAGCTATTTTGATCATCTTAGAGATCGCTGTTGCAAATTTAAGATTCAATGTTAGAGTAAATGCAGTATAGAACGTATTGTATGAAGCAATCGTCCAGTGACCTAACTGACACTCCTCTAAACTTTGCGGTCAAGGTTCTCCTAATTACCTCTACTCTTTCCTTCGACTAATAACCATTGTAGCTGTAAAGTTTTATGGAACATCCTCATTATTTATATTCTTACTGAGTGCATTTTATTGAAAAGAATCCATCTATAGAAATCAAGTTATAATAGCTGAGCTGTTTCATGTCAAACAAGAGGAAACTGCAAGTTCCAGAAAGAATAAGCAAAAAAAAGTTTTGTAATCTTAAATAAAAAGGGTAATGACAAAAGTATATTTTAAAATGTACTATACTAATTCCCATCAAGAAACACTGCGGTTAAATGTTTGCGCTTCAAGCTATCTCGCGTGGTTAAAGCATGATAGGTGGAGAAGCAATGTGTCAGGCATTAAACCTCTGGTTCTGTTTTTTAAAGTGATGGAAAAAATAATACAGTTCCCTGCTTCCATACTGAAACGCACGGAAATGAAATAAAGGTTGCTTGGCATTATAAAATGAGACGAGTAAAATGCAACATCTAGGCCTAAATACAATATTTTATAAACGTTGTCATGTGCAGTTTTTCATTGTTATATAATCAGTGTAAGTTAAAGCTTACGTGCAAGATAATAGAATGCCGACTTTTCCATGTGCCAGCGCTGCTTACGGTTTAGATGCATAATAACTCTCTGACAATTTCGTAAACATATCCGAGAAGATAAAACTTAAAAATGAAACAGCACTATGTGAAGAACTTAAGTTTCGAGCTCGAATGCATTGTCTAGAAATAATTTACATATTTTCTTTAACCTAGAGATAATGATACAATAGGTAGATAAAAAGAAAAAGACGATATATCGTCAATTATAAGGATAATATTCCACTAGCTAATTCACTAAAAATGTGAATAGAGCTCATTAAAGTGAAAGAGCAACCTGTTTGTTATAAGCCATTTAAAGCCACCACGAGTAAATACACAAACTTATAATTCTCCTATAAATAGAGGGATATTGGCAAACTCTCTAATCACATATGCTCAAGCAGAAAATTCGCCCGTTATTTATAAAGTATCGGCTAGTCCCGTAGGTACCGCAAAATAAATATTATATTTGTGTGTATGAAAACATTTATGGCACCGGTACTGGTAAATAACACAGATATTGATTCCAAGACGAACTAGTAACTTCAAACATGTAGTCACAAAGATGTAATATAACAAGAACGGTCTGCTTTTCTTATCAAGTAAAAAAAAATGAGTAATATCAAGACTGACAGCATACACAGATACCCATAAAAGATGCTAAAATCTGGAGCAGCATACTTTATGGAAGGGCTTGTTAGCTGATTAACCGGATCACTTAGTTGCTCACTTATATCTGTTACGGAATCTTGGACAAATTCGCGCAAACATTTGTGCGCAGCTTACAAAAGCTAAATTTATACAAGGTCTTAGTATTACTCTTACTAACTCTATATGAAATAGTACAAAGAATAAGAAGTGGAACATTATTTGTTTAGAATAAATTGCTTTTCAGCTACTTGGAGTCCAGTTTTTCTAGATCTTGAATTTGAATATAGGTTTAACTGGTTTGATAGTCCAATTGTGTAAATGTGCATGAATCATATGTTAAAACCTACCGCATTTTCGACCTGTTCAAAAGGCTTCATTTCTAAGTCATTTAACTATAGAAATTTCTATATTTGTATTACCACGTTCTTATTTTACATAATTAATTAATAAACTTTTTTTATTTTTTATTTTATTCCTGCATTTATGTGTTTAACCGCGCAATTAGTTCCCATTCCCATTGTACTTCATTTGTTGCAAGAAAGGAATTTTTTCTTTGCACTAACAAATAGACTGGTGGAACGAATACGCTACTGTTGTGACGTATCTGGCGGAAAACGAAACCTTAAAGTATATATATATATATATAGATATATATATGTGTGTATGTTGTTGATTAACTACGTACGACTCGCAACGTTTCTGATCGCTGGCTCTGCACCGTTAATTCGAACAGCTGATTATCTAGACATGTTTCGATCATCGGTAACCTAATCAATTTCGTTTTTATCTCATGACACTGATTATTTGATACAGTTGTACACCGAGCACGATCTGAACGCGCGATTTGAACATCTTCCGTATTCCGAGAACGAGCAATCCTCACGCACTCTCTGCTAAGCTCACCACAAATGCTACACGGAGATGTTCCTCGATTTGTCACCCACACGCGGCCGCACAAAAATGACCCGCTAGTGACAACAGCGCACTCACGTCTTAGCTGATTTCTAACAACGCTCACATAGGCACACAGTTACACACTGAAAACCCATCCAGTAAAGACGCGTTAGGGCGGTAGAGACACGGGAAAAGAAAAAGGCAATATTCGAATGAAACATTTTGCACTCTCGGTAACTGTGAAATTTACACAATTGTTTACCGCCCGTTGATTTGCCTCACTTCTTCTCACCGGCAATTCCCATTAATTTTCTATGGCCGCTGGTCGTCCCGGCTGAGAGGGACAACGTAAGGCTGATACGGCACACGCAGCAGCGGCATTGCGACCAGAAGATCTCTCCGCACCTCTCGCCACTGTAAGTACCAAAAGCGATACGAACAACAACAACACAGAGATGATAACACCAACATTGGTCGTTGTTGGACACATCGTGGAAACAGCGATCCAACAACGGCACTAACAACAACTCCGGAAACATGATGCTCCTCCGCGCGAGAGCTCCTACCTAGCTGAACTGAAACGTTCCGTAAATTATACGCACAGGATTTCCTAAAGAGACCATTGTCAAATCTTCAATACGTGGCTCGCATACTTCGCAACATAATCTATTAAACATAATTGCTAAGCGGCATTACTAGCAGCAGGACGTACCCTTAGTTTTCCTCCTCCCCAGCATCTTACAAAATAAACACGTCCACCGCCGAGATGCCACCTGCTCGCGCTCGTATCCAACTCCGGCCGCGTTTGCTCTCTGAGCGTCGTTGGCGTCTGCTAGAGAGGTTTGTGCTAATGTTGTTCAGGCTGATGTGTTTGTGTTGTAGCACAATTGCTTGACGGTGCTGGTTCTTAAGCTGTGCGTTGTTCGCGATGGTACGGGAACAAACAGTGGATTAGAAAATATATTGACGTTTTTTTTTGCTGTCGCATTTTTTCTGTCGGGAGTATTTTCGTCACCGAGTTTCCTTCGATCGGTGTGCTCAGTGACGTTTGGTGAATGGGACCGAGCGTTCGGTTTGCACCTTACGTAAAATGAAACGTGTCTATATCTGGCGGTTCCTTCCCGCGTGGATAAAGGGAGTACCATAGCCTGCTTGTCCACCACCTTGCTGTCGTACACTCTGCCTGTAACATAAACTGTTGTATTTTTTTGTATAGAAAATTTATGATTAGGAGGAGCGCATTATCTTTGGGAGCTCCGGACTATGGCCGAGTCCAGTGTCGAGTTCGCGCTTACATTTTTCGAAGTGACCGAGGAGACGATATGGATGCGAGGTGTCTTTTATTGCTGTTATCTCTGTCGTGTAACATGTGTATGTCTAAAATTGAAGCGGTATGTGGAAGACCTTCTATCTTTTGCATGTGGAAGACCTTATATCCTTTACCACCAACCTCAGGATGCAGATAAGGTTTGATTTTGGTGAGTCGGTGTGTGCCAGTCGAAGTCAGAAGTGACTGTGTCTTCATTATGCGTAACAATTGCTAATAGCCCAGGCCGTCTAAAATAGTGTTCTTGATTAAATCCTTTGGTATCGTAATATGTGCTTGTGTATAACGGATAATAAGAGATTAGGTGTAAGACGGCCTTCACAAATACTAACGTTCGGCTATTTGTTGACACAGTTGCTTAATTCGAATGTGTTGATATAGTGGTGAAGATCACGTGTGAGTGAATCCGCTGGAATATTTTTGTTCGGGTTGCGCTATCTCATCTCTAAAACAGGACAGGGCCATTGTGACGTCCTCGCAATTAACAACGAGGAGGTGGTGAGTGTACAGCGTTCCCTATTTCAGAATTATTCTTAGCTGATGGGTGGATGTCGGTTTTGAACAAATCATGCCAAATTCTCAGCTGTTGAAGGAAAAGTCCTCAAGCTTTATACGACGAGAAAGATGACTTCGGCATGTTGAGGAGAGCATCGCTTATATTCTACTGTTTCGTTAGGTTGACTTAGACAATCGTCGACTTTAGCACATCGGATTGTTAAACTCTGCCAAGGAACTGGCACATTCAGCCGGAGTAAACCGTGACGTATGTTGATGTACACTGCTAAACCATTCACTAGAGATTTACTATTCATCTTTCCTTCCATGCTTGAAAAACACTATTATTATTATCATATTCACAGTTTCGTTAACGGAATAGATAGTTTCTTTTCTTCAAGTATGAGTAGACCTGAATTACCGGGTCGTAAAAGAAAATGTTTTGAGTATTTCGTAGTTTTATTTTGTAACGTAATCTCAAAAACGTCGTTTACCTTGCAGATGCTTACCGAAGAAGAAGGCACTCTGAATATAAAGACAAAAATGAACTCAGCATAAAATTACGGGTGAAATTAGAAGAAAACTAATGACATGGGAAACATAATAACGCAGATTGAGATCAGAATAGTTAGTAACTACCTTTTTGATTTAAAATTGTTGCGTCCAACACAGTGCTTGTTTGGGTGTGCAGTATGGTGGACAGTGTTGAAGACTACCGAAGCACCGGCACCTTACAATTTACAACGTATTGTGCGAAGACGTAAAAGCTGAAAAACACTGTAGGCCAAGAAAAGCCAGGAAGCAAAAACCTTTGACTGAAATTTCTCAAATTATTTAATAACTCTCAAAATAATATTCAGAAAGCATAACGATTAGTGTAAATTTTGCACTAAAATGTTTGCTGAATCACTTGCTCCTCGTCACTAACCTCAGCTTTTGTTGTAATAATGATAAGCATAATGGTGATGACTATAATGTTAGCAGAGAGCTGTTTTGTAAATGAAGCAAGAACTTAAACATTAGAAAGCAAGCAAACATCAGAAAGAAACAAAAATTTCGAATTAACATAATTTTTATTTGGAAACTAACCTAACGATTGCTGCTACTATTTATATCGCACAGACAATATGGCGAGGAAAATATTTTTGTTATTGTTAGAACCAGCCGTTGTTTGACTCAGTTTTCAGGGCAAACTAAAGAAGATGAGAATGAAGATGGCAAAGTAGTGCGAAGCTTTATGAAGAAAAAAAAACAAATAGAATTATACAATGCATCGCACTTATTTTCGCTACGGTTGTGCATTTAAGAAGCGTTCTGTTCCTACTAAGTCGTGGTTCTTGTGATCTTTTTATATGTGGGGCTTGATTAAGCAAGCCGCGTCCATAGTCCGTGCCTACAGAATGATAGCATTTACAATATCATGCATAAATTCTTGCCTACAGAGATAATAACCGCCGAAGTACTGGTATACTAACGAGTTGAAGTCATATCATAAACCGATGTAGTTCTCGTAAATTGTGGCTTATCAATAATAGGGGTCATTCACATATAATAAGCACTTTGTTATAGTTTTGTACTAAATCTTTACCGAAGTGTGGACCCAGGATTTTTGTTATTGTACCAATAGTTACGTGGTAATTTTTGGTAAATTATTTGTTGCACATTATTGTCAAACTTTATTGGAAGAAAAATTGTCACCATTATTAGTTTATCTTCAAACCTAAACACCGTCTATATCACAGTAAATCTTGTGCATATCCCAATATTAACACTCAACCAGTTTAATAATCAAGTAATTTATGGCCTAGCAAGAAAATCAATTTTTTTTTTTTGTCTGCAGACGCCTGCCAATCATGTTTTCATATTGGATTAAGCAGTCGTTGAGTCTCTCCATAATTTTCTACAGTGAACACTTAAGGTATAAGTTACTGAAACTATTTTAATACTGTCAATCTAGGTTACTCGAGGGAAACATCCCCTGACATTTGCCAAGCACAAGTGAGCTTTAAATATTGCGATGGCAATAAGCTTTGTTTTTCAGTTGAATTTCGCTATTTCTGAAGGTTGCGCCGAAGACCAGAGCTGTTTTTTGTAAATTTTTCGATAACAACTTTTTACATTCGACACGAATGCAATTACCTTGTCGTGTTAACCAGGAGATGTGATGGCACAAGATGAAAAAAACACCAGAATATGAACATAGCTGTTAACACTGACATTGCAACATATCCCTCATACATGCGTACAATATAATATATTCTTTTCGCCTTACGCTGCAATTTCTCCTGATAATTTTTGCGATAATAATGGTGCTGATGGCAATGATGCTGATGATTATTATCGTGTTGATGATGACCCTGGCTCTGTTTGTTCACGAGTGTATTGCATTTCGGTGTCGCTTGGTCGGCGCGGCGCTTGTCCGTTCGCTTCGGTTTTTCTTATGCTAGCGGTGCCGGCAGGTAGCTAAAGCTAGACATCGGCTTGATGGTTATATTGGCGTTTGGGGATTGATAGTAGACTTTTCAGGCAATTTTTTCGTTTTTTCGAACTACCTTTCTCTGCATACTTACTCATAATCTTTTTCTTTATTTCACTTAGTGTTTTGACACGAAACTTAATTTTTTCCCAACGGAAGAAGTTCGTCCGAGTCGGTTCAAATAGAAGTACTATGCATCTAAGTAGTAATTGTGCTTGCGAACTAAAGCGTCGAAAATTGTTCATAACATATATGTAATTAGGGCTTGCTGTAAAGGCTATAACCGGGATTTCGCCTATATATAACTATCTGTATGGATTTTTACTTACTAAAAAAATTGGAACTTACAAGTAATGTTTCAGCCTTGATAAAAGCTTATTCTATTACTGACAAATTATCTGTTGGGTTTTGTGACGATGCTGCATGTTACGAACTTTCCACCACACACCTATCTTACGTTTTCAGTGATATTGATAATAGCATTATGTAATGAACATCTATTGTAAGAAAGTAAATAATTCGTTCAAGGAAATTTTTTAAATTATTTTTATCTGTGTTGTGGTTTTTTTTCTAAAAAATAAAGACAAAGAAACATACGGTACACACTAGCCGTATAATTATAGAAGTTACCTTTGGTGATTCAATTATTCCACTTTGTTTTTTCGTTTCCTTAAAAAAAACTATATACAGACAAAAGGTGATGTGGCATAACATCTAGAATAAGAAGATTGAGGTCTGCAATAGTGGTCACGGTTTGGTTGGGCCGAACATCGACAGAGACTATCGCTGTGTCGCTAGTGATGACGGGTCATAAACCGCGAATTGTTGAAGCGAACGTATTTAAGCTGAAGATGACAATAAGGAAAAGGAGATCGTATGTTTGACGTTGTTTTTATCTGATCCAATAATGTCAATCATAAATAGTATTAAGTGCCTTTTTATCCATCCATGAGTACGATTTAAGCAAGATTCTCAAAAAAATGTATACCTTTATCTACTAAAAAATATTGTTAATGCACTAGCGTCAAGTTTCGTAAATTAACTGAACTACAGCAGAAAGCGGCAAGGTAAACTGCAGTCTGTTTTTGTTGAACAAAATATCGAATTAATTTACAATATTGAATTAACGTCTTAAGTTAGGAGAGTTGTAGTATTTTGGAAATTGTTTCACATTCGTTTTGATACGCTGATTGATTTTGCTTTCCGGATGCTATCTTTACCTTTACTTGGGCAAATAAGCTACCACCAGAACTTTTTTGTTGGCTCGAGCTAAAACCTAGAATTGTTTTTAAAACGAATTTCTTGCACATTTCGTGTAATCAACATCGAGAAGCTTAGTTCACTAAATGATAATGGTTGTAATGATTATTACAGCAATATAGTGAATCCATTACAACCTCGTGGATCGAAGACCGTATGCAGGCACAGTAGCGATGAGGGTAGGTAGTTCATATATTCGAAATAACTTCATACACTTATAGATATAGTTGTAGGTAGCGAGAAAAAAAACTATTTCATTCTATCAAATTATCGAAACCGTATTATTTTCGGTCATCTGGGCTCAACGTTTTATAGTAGTAGTAGTAGTACAAAACGTAGCACAAGCCCTGTAGAAGACGTCGCATGTACGTTGTACCGTTCAAGGGATTGAATATTTCATCAAACGTTGAGGCTAGAAAGTAAATGTGGACCAAAGTCCTGCGCAAAGACGTGTCTGTATGAATAGCTGCCCCTAATTCAAGTGTAAACTATTCTGTCTAATTGAATTTGCTTTCCACAGCCTGGGCCGCGGCAACCATTTTATTATTGGGGGTAACTTGCATCAACTTACAAAAGTCCATTGAGCCAGATTCAGTGAGCAACCTTTCCAAGCGGGAAGGCAACACAACACAGCTGCTGTTGCCAAGATCTAAGAATCTGCAAGAAACATTCTACGATGTATACACCGAAAATACGTTTTACGCCAACTAATCTGCGATCTATTTTTCCATCCGCAAGGACCGTTCTCATAAATCAACTTGGATGTTTCAAGCTTTTCAGGCATCTGGATTTTAATATCTCCTTTTTTTAGTAAAACTAGACCACTTCTGAGCTGTGTTCTTGAGAACTGTCAAACACCAACTTTTTTAGGCAATAACTGCAAACCTTATTCTGTTCAGAACTTATAAAGTAAAAAAAAACATTTAATATTGAAAGTTCTCTTTTAGTTTTCAGTGTTTGTTCAAAGGTAATTTTGCAATCAGATTTTGGATTCGAACTACCAAGTATAAATAAATAAAGTATACTACTAATTTTAGGCTGTCTAACAAGCGAGGAAACAACCGTCATCAACAAAACGTGCTGTTTGCCTAAATGACTTCAATATAGTCCCGTGAACGACAATTTAATGATCTAAGTGAACAAAAATATCAAACAGCATTATAATATATGGGCGCATCAAGTCGCCACTCCTATTTGCTTGTAACTCACTGACCTTAAAGCCAAGCCTACGTTGCCGCTTGTTTCACATTAACGATAATAAATGAGTATAATAAAAACTACGAATTGTCGTTGTTATGTAATTGTGATCTTCCTTTTTGCTCAGCGGCGAGCATCGTCGAGAACTGACGCAGGTGAATGCGATGAGCTTAGCAGCTGCATAGGCGCGAAAACTGGCTAACTAATAGCAGTGACAGCAGCATCAGTGGTGGCAAATATGGTCGTCCATTCTCAACTCGAGTCAGTTAGTACGCTAACCAAGGCAAACGGGGCAACCTCTTTCTCTTCCGAAGAAAAAGCAGCCTCATCCGCAG